CACTGTGGAAGTTTTAAGCCAGCCCCCAGTTTCAGTAATTTGAGGAGTCAGGGCCTGTAGGCAGAGGCACAGTGTGAGCTGGGGTGTGGGGTGGCAGAGAGCAGCAGTGGCTGTTAACAGTGGGCCTGTATGACTGACTGGGGCTGGCACACCTCACAGACCCCTGGTCCGACCACAGTGGACTCCATAAACGTTTGGCCGGCACGATGGGTTTATTTGTTTGTATGTATGTATATGTGTGTGTATTTAGAAAAAGAGCCTTTGGAAAAACATGAGCTCTGAAGCATGATTGCAACCACTCCCTTGCTTGGACCCATCCATTCTTTGGTTGGTGCCTGAACCTTGAAAGTAATTTGCCTGCAAACCTTGGATTGTCACTTGCACTTGGTGTGACAGTAGCTTGAGGAAAGCATGGGAGCTTACGTAGGGATTGGATTGCAGAAAGACTCAAATGTTATGCTAGTGAGTTCGGACTTGATTGGCAGGTGGTAGGGAGCCATGGAAGGGCTTTGAGTTGGGCTCTGAAGGACTAGGGCTTGTCTGCTGGGATGATCCTTAGTGGATCTGGGGGATCCAGAGGGAGGCACTGGTATAGACTTCTGATGAGGAATAAAAGGCCTGAACCAGACTGGATCGTGAACACAGAGACAAGAGGGTGTGTTTGACAGCCGTTATGGAGGCTGACTTAATGTGATTTGGTATCTGAAGAGATGTGAGGTGTTGAGCCAGAATAACAGTATCGTAACAGTGGGGAGGAGGTGGGAATGAGAGTGGGCCTAAGAGACAGTGGTGATTCAGTGACTTTGAGGTGGGGGTTGGAGTTGCTGCACAGGCGAAGAGTTGAAAAGTTGGTTCTTGAGCAACACTTTGATGTTCTGAGTGATATTTTAGGACATTTTGTGAAGTTTGTTAATATCCTGATAATTGTTTTTGACACTTCAATGCACTTGTCTTATGGTGCCTTTTTCTTGATGACATGAGGACAGCTGTAGTCCTTGGTGGTTGTCTATAATATGCCAAGGATGTTGGTTCAGGACAGTAGGTAGTACCAAGAGGGAAGTATCTGTGTTGGCTAGTTAAACAGAGGTGGGAGCATCTCAAGCTTATTCTCAAGTTGCTTTGAGAATGCTGGTTCCTGAGGGTGGCAGCCAGAAGGCCTGCTGCTCTTGGTAAGGGTTGGGTTGATGCGAGCCCAGATCAGCAGACTTACACTTTGCTCAGCCTGGGACTTGGCTGGCTTCTGCTGCCATGTTGGACAGGAGGATTGGCCAGCAGCTAGCCTGCCTACATGTGCGCTTGCAGTGCCTGTTGGTGGTGGTTCACCAAGGTGAGTAGTTTCAACATCTTGTACCTTCTGGAGAGACTTTTGCTGAGAATGAGTCACTTGGTGCAGAATTATTGATGTCTTATATAAGAAGCCTGGTTCATTGAAGTGGTTCCAGAAAACAAATTGTAAAGACAACAATTATTGGTAATCAGATGATCTTGTAGCATCCTTGAGATCAAATTAATGCTACACTTATATTTTTTAAGAGACTGGATGTTTGCTTTGGGATTCAATAATAAGGTGTGTTTTAAAAACATGGTAAATGTTTCAAAAATTTTTAAAAATGTGTTGTAGTAAAGCACATTGCACTAATCCTCCTCAAACTACTCTCCCTCATTCTCGCCACTTTCTGAAGCAGTTCTGGAAGTCTTCTTTAGATGTACTATTGGAGCTACCTCAGTGTTCTGAATGGATTCAAAATGTTTACCTTCCATGGTCGTTTTAACTTTTGGGGAAGAGCTAGACATTTCATGGTGCCATAACCAGTAAGGTTGATGAAGACACACTATAATATGTTTATGAACCTGCCTTGCCATTGGATGGCACTCACCAGCAATATTCACCTCCAAATTGTTTTCATCACAGCTTAAAAAGACATTTTACAAAAGAGGACTTCCAAAATGACTTGAGAAAATGGCAAGAATGGTGGGAGAAGTGTGCTCAAAACAATGGGGAGTATTTTGAGGGGCATCAATAGCAATGTGTCTTTACTGTAATAATTACTGTAAGCATTTTTAAAAGTTTCATATATATCTTACACAACCTAAAAGGCAATTTTATGTAATATTTTAGGTGCACCTGCATTTTTGCTCTGACTTATATGAGGTCAAGTATGACATTTCCATTTTTGGCATTAAGATTTAATGCCAAAAATGAAATCAGATAGTTTCAGAGTTTGGAGCTTTTTGGATTAGGGTTACTCAACCTGTATTTATTTAAATCAGACAATTTCTAAGTTTTTCACAGGCAAATTGTATGAGGCACACTGTCGTTATTAGTTCTTCAAAGGTCCTGACCCAGCTGAGCTTCCTCCTCCTCCTCCTTCATCCTAACCTTCATCTCGTAATTTTGGGGGCTTGGAGTATTTCTATTTCTCCTTTTTTATTGGTGGTTTCTTTGTTCCAAGGAAGAACTGTATTTTTTCTTTTGTTTTCTTTGTTCAGAAACTCCACGGCATGCTTCTAAATTGCATGTTACCTGAGAAAAGCAGAACAAAGCAAGCAGTGGAGTCCTTTGCTTCAGCTGTCTCTTGGGTTGATGAAAACCGAAGCTTCAGCAAACAGAGTCAGGGCCCAGGATGCTATTTTCTAAATGAGTTAGTGTAAACTAGGGACCTTGCTCAAGTCCTAGTAATGACAGCTTTACCATCCAATTTTCCTCAGGGCCTAGCTCTTGAGAAGGAAAAAAAGCCCCCTAAAATGGAGAGCTTTTTAGCCTTTGTTACTGGTTCTCAATCTGCAGTATTAAAGGAAATACCCAGTCAGATATCGACAGGGTCAGGCCATCTGTTGAAATATGACTATTCTCCTAAAGCCAATGAGAGTCTTTAAGTTCTCAGATTAGCATTCTGTGACATCTGCCCTTTAGAAGGTAGGGTTTTCAGTTAGATTGCATTCTTTATTTTAATTTACCTGGATCAGAGGCATAATGCTTAAAAAAAAAAGAGGGGTTCTCGCAAATAAAATGGCAGCAATCAAAAACATATTGGAGGAAAACATAACTACTATATTTTAAAACACCTTTATATATGTGGTTTAAAGGCTTTAAGACCCAAGTTCATCATGTCCTTAAAACTAGTTGATATCATGTAAGCTTAGTGTTCATAAACTATTTTAGAGCATGGCTAATGTCTTAACATAGATTTTATCTAGTCCAAGCACAGGACCTGCAGACAGACACACAGCAAGTGTTTGATAAAAGTGCTTGTTGAAGAGCTACATGTTTTGCTCTTTTCCCCTTGATGAGTGTTACTTGTTCCAGCTGGCTCTTTGTGTCTGACATGTGGGAACTCTTCCTCTTCTCCTTGTCCAGGCTTCTTAGTTCTTTTCATTACTGCTTAGTCTTGCAGGACCTGAGTTGTAAAGAACTAACTGAAAATAGACTTGTCACTGTAAGCACCTCCTCACATCTGGTTTTTGTTGGTTTTCCCCATCCTACATCCCTGCAAGGTTGACCAACATTCTTTTTTTTTTTTGAGTTGCACATCAAAAACAGTAGGAGAGAAGAGAACAGTATCTGTTTAGTCAACACTTCCAGTGTTGGAAAACTGTCAGATTTAAAATGTAACTTGTCTCCCCTCCGCTTCCCTTCCCTTCACCTATTCTAGTATGTGCTTTCAGAAAGGTGGAAACTGTGTCAAACGTGGAGAGGGCTACTTAGATGTGGATGTTCTGAGGTTGATCAGGCTCCTCTCCCTCAGTTGTTCATTGCACCCTGTGGAGGGTACACAAGGACTCTCACCTTCCCCTGTGTGCACAGCTTATTTTGTCCTGTGTTTTATCATTTGACTTTCCAAATGCCAAGGGTGTCTGTCCCAGGCACTGGCGTGTGGCAGAATCTGAGAGCAGCAACCTGTGTAAGTTTGCTCAGTGATAGAGTGGGCAAGCACTGGCTCGGGGTTCAGAGCAGAGTCTGGATCCCAAACTCCGCTGCTTTCCAGCTCTATCGCCTTAGTGTGGAGATCTGTTGAGCATTCACATATAAGTTGGAGATGGAATAAGATACCTATCTTACTGCATGTGAACAGCTGGTATCTAGTGTCTAGTGTCTGCCTAAATAAATAGTTTTAAAGATAAAACTAAACCGTGTACTTCAGTGTTCTTAAGTAGCTTTCAGTTAGTGTATCCTTGGTTCTGAGACATTAGGCCAACCCCTGAGATGGAGCATCCCTTCCCAGCTGAGAATGTTAGGAATAATGCATGGTGATTAATGAGGGCCCCAGGTTTTCCGGTGACCACTGGATTTCTTTCACTGCCTTTTTGTTTGGAAGATTGTGATAAGTTTTTTAAAATTTTGCTTGTAACTACATTGTAGCCTTTTGTTATAATTGCAAAAATAAGAGGTTTTTGTCCTGTGGTTTTTAGGAAAGATGTAGGAGGTGTGATGTGCAATTTCATTATGCTAAGAAAATAAATGGTACTGATTTTTGCCAGACATGCTTACTTGTACATTGGGAAATAATTCTGAATAATTTAATAAGTATATTTTGTGATTGTGACATCTCATCTCTCTCTACAGACATGACGCAAATCTGAGTAAACTGCAATTCATTTAATAAAAACTGACAGTGTGAAATATCTGTTTTTAAAATGTTTATGCTTATGACTTAAACTTAAAAGATGCCAAAGGGTATATGTTGAAAATTAAGTTTCTTTTTCTGCCTCATTCCCTAGCTTACCAGTTCCTTCCTACAGAGCCAACTACTCCTGTCTTCTTAAAATTAAAATCTATATTTGATTATGGTTTGGTATTCTCTGTATTTGCCCAGTGGTTTGTGGTGGTAAGGTGGTAAGGTGGTAAGCCTACCCAGTGTACCCTTACATATGTCAGCAGACACGGGCAATATCATTTTGGTGATGAGGCCTCTTACTTCCTGTAGTCAGCTTTTGAAACCAGGGACTGTGTAGCCTTTGAGTTTCTTGATTTCCAAGTCTGTGTTCTTTTCGTTTTCCAGCTGCAGCATGAGAAAGCTGAACTGGAGCAGCATCTGGAACAGGAGCAGGAATTTCAGGTCAACAAACTGATGAAGAAAATAAAAAAGCTGGAGAATGATACCATTTCTAAGCAGCTTACATTAGAACAGGTAAGCATTGGGACTCCCCTGACTTTACTTTTCCACAATCACCTGGCTCTTTCCAGCTTCCATATGCCCCGAAGAGTATGAGTAAAAACAATTGTTCAGCTCTTCCTTTCCAGTGGAAGCTTCATTTCTAAAGTAAGTATTTGCACGTTTATATCGTCCCTGCTCACACATACACCCACCTGCCTCTGGGTCTCTTGCTGGCCACGATTAAGTTTCAGGAGATATGTGGTGATATTCTGATTTATAGCAGGAAATGTCAGGTTCCTTTTTGCAAAACAAAGGGGGAAGAATGTTTTTAACCACAGGACTGTTTATGTGAATGTTCCTGAGAGTGTTACTCTGGAGCTAAAAAATTTCTTTCAAGAGTTCTTCAGAACAAAGAATATTTTTCTTCTCTGAATTATTACCAACCTAATATGGTAGCTGTTTTTCTTACAGCTGAATTTGTTGATGCTGGTATGAATAGACTTGGTAACTCATGCTAGGTCAGGAGCTGATGACAAGTATGACCTTGAATTCATTAAATTCTCGGAGCCCAAGTTCTCTATTTGTAAACAGAGCAAGACAGACTACAATCAAGGATGGACACCTAGGAGGTACAAAAAGTGAAAAGTAATAGTGCACAATCGTTTTGCCAGTTGTCCCTGGCAGACACTGATGTTGATCACAGAACCCACCTTCAGAATCCACACTGGTCCTTGGGCTTCCGCTGTCATGCAAGACTGTGGGCAGCTGCTGTCACGTCATCCACAGTGTGTAAGAAACCAGAGTCCCTGACATCCCTGCCCTTGTGCCTTCTAATGCTTTTTCCCACTTAGGTCTCTTGAAGTTATCTTTCCCCTAAGACAAGTTGTAAGAAGCTGTCTTTGGAGTATGGCTGCTTGGGTTGCCATGTAAAATTCAGTAGCTTAGCTAAGATGACTCAGGTTTGAGTGTTACAGATTCTGATCACCACTGTGATGATTTGGCTGAGCCTTCCGGGCAAAGGGGTCTGCTGTGTATCTGTACTGTGCTGACTGGTTTATCAGTCTCTCGGGGTTACTTTAGTTTTAACATTTTACCCGAGAGTGAAAGGATGGTAGGACTGAGTGGGTTGGGGGTAAGTTAGGGTTTATTTTAAATTAAAGCTGACTTGGGCTTTTGCTGTGATTGTTATCCTTATATCTCCCTATATCAAAGAGGGGAGTATCTCCCCAGACTAATCTATTCTTACCGTTTAGCTTTCAAATTTAGATGCAGTGTCTAAATGTTTCTTCTGACTTCCTGCACCCCCAATTTAAAAATATTTTTCAGTAATGTTCACCTGTTTGATTCTCAATCAAACTGAAGCTCCGCTTCTGTTGAAGCTTTCAGGATTTAAGTACGTATTATTGGAACTTGTTAATCAAGAGCTAATCAGGTGGCCATGTGCAGTGCCCATAGTAGTGGGTACTGTGAGACCTTGGCTTGGGCGTGGTCTTCACGATGGTAATTGTGAATCCTTTAAACAGCTTCTCTGTTCTGTTTGTTCACGAGCTGCTCAGGAGGCTGGAGACCAGGGCTGTGACCCCCCAAGGCTTTTGGTTTGACCACAAGGTGGGGCTAGTGAGCTAGCATCTGAGGGAGAAGGGCAGTCCTGGCCTTCTCAACCCTTTGGAGACTCAGTAACTGAACCACTCTAAAACAAAGTCCAAGTCTTGCATTTTCTGTACCAAATGACTTGGTGAACTTTTAAGCATATTTCAGACGTTGGCAAGAGGATTTCCAAAATAAAAAAATAATTTCCAGATATCCAGAGGAATAGATGCATTGCAAAGCCTCTTATAAGGAGTAAACCACAGATTCAGCACATCTAGTCCTTATTTTAATTAAAATGGAGAAAGTGACATCTTCAAACCCCACCCCCCATTTTGGGTGTGTCCATGGTGATTCAGTGTTCCAAATTTTATTGTGTATTTTGTCGAACTACAAATATTTTTAGTCAGTGTTTAGGAGGAATGTGGGGTTTTTTTTCTCTAATCGAAATAAATCTTTTCTGAGTTTCCATGGATATGATCTAACCAGCTCTGTGCTCATCTTTTGGGATGATCATATGCATTATATGATATGTGTTATAGTCTATATTACATTACTTGATATGTGTTATATAATATGCTTTATACTATGTGATGCCAGAAGACCAAAGACATTTACTGTATTCCAAATTACAGTGAATTACATCATTGTAAAAAGAAAAGCCTTTGCTTTCTACCTGACAGAAAACTTTTGGGGGTGTACAGTACTGGGGATCAAACCTAGGGGCACTCTGCCAGCGAACTACATCCCCAGGCCATTTTACTTTATTTTGAGATAGGGTCTCAGTAAGTTACCCAGGCTGGCATCAAACTTTCCATCCTCCTGCCGCAGCCTCCTGAGTAACTGGGATTATAGTCATGTGCCACCATTCCCAACTCAAACTTGCTTTTTTAACTGTGTGTGTTTGAAGGCAATTGCTCTGTGTCCCATGCCACTACATGTGCTCCACAGCTTTGTCAGGACAGTTGAAAAGTGGCTTTAGGCATGAGGCTAGAGAGCAGTTGTCTTTCAAAAGGTAGCATGGGAGTGTTCAGGACCCAGGCACTGACACAGAACCTATGGGTATTTCCTCTGCTTAACACTGTAACGAGTTTGCTTATTTTCTGTCTCTCTCTCCCTTCCACCCTCACCCCCTCCCCTCACCTTCCCAGTAGTTCTGTTGAGATATAATTCACCCATTCAAAATGTACAATTCAATTTTACTATTAAAGTTGTTCAGCTATCACTAGTTAATTTTAGAACATTTCCAGGTCCTCACAATGAAACCCTGGACCCTCTACCTGTCACTCCTACTCCTCCATGCTCTGCTTTCTCTTTGTCCAATCTGGACGTTTCATCTAAACAGGATTGTGTAATATGTGATCTTTTGTGACTGACTTCCTTCACTTAGCACAGCGTTTTCATCTGTATTGCAGCGTGTCCCCATACACCTTTCCTGGCCAAATAATTTCCCATTGTGTGTATATATCACATCTTATTTATTCATTGTCATTTCATTTGATTGTTTCCACCTTTTGTGTGGATGTTGTATTCCCTGTCTCTTAAGCATATACCTAAGAGTCAAATGCTGGTTTACACGGGAACTCTATAAAATTGTACAAAATATAATTTTAAAATAATACACATTTAGCATTGAGTTGAACCTGCAGAAAAGACATTGGAAGATCTCCTGTCAGAAGTTTGTGTTGACTCTAATATGCTTGATTTGAAGGTGTGGTTTAGGTCGGGGGTGCTGTTGAAGTAAGTTCCCCTGTTCTCTGTAAAGCAGAACTGACTTGGCTTGGGAACTCAGTCTCAGGGCCCTGTGTCAGAAGCCTTCATTATCAGTCATGCTAAAGTCAGGCTTTCCACGTAGACTATTTCATTAGTGCCAGTTCTTCTCTTAGACGAGAGCCCAGGTTCATTTTTTCACCTAGAGAATGCAAGGAGCTTGATTAGCGAGATGCTGGGCTGTCAGCGGTCTGTTGGTGTTTCGCAGTGTGTCAGTTCACAGAAGCTCAGAGCTGGAATGCCACCTTGGCCCTCAGACCCTAGTGGGCTTGGGAGACAGCTCTGTGCTCCCTCTGAGAGGAAGAGGCTGGGTGGGACTTGCTTCTCTGTGACAACCAGTTTGTCCTCTAAGTGGCCCCGCCCTTGGGCACTTTTCTCAGAAATGGAAAGCCAGAGGATTGTGAGCATTCCCAAATCACAGAGCCAGAGTGGCAGCACTGGGCCTCAGTCCCTGGCCTGGTACCCTGTTCAAGGATGCAGGAAGGACCTAGCCTTTGTGTAAAGAGAGGCAGCAATTCATTTTATATTTACCGCAATCCTGCTGCTTTCCTGTCCAAATAGCCTGCCATAGTTCTGAATTATTTGTTTTAATTATCTTTTTAGGATTTATGTAGCATTCTAAATGCTTAATCCCAGAAGACAGTTTATAGACAGATGCAAAAGAGCACGCTGAGAATGATATAAAATTATGAGGTCATTACAGCACATGATGGATAAACGAGATTAATTTATTCAGTGCGCCTTTAGCATCTTTAGTGCCTTTAAAAATAAACACCGGTGGGGCTGGGAATTTAGCTCAGCAATGCCGCACCTGCTTCACAAGCACAAGGTCCTGAGTTCAATCCCCAGTACCAAAAAAAGTTGCAAAAATAAACACTGGTGTCCATTGCCTGTGCTGTGAACTCTTACTAAAAGATTTTTATTGAAATATGTGGTCACTGTGAGTCTCCTTTTTAGTATTCACATTTTCTTAGGTGATGGTAAGAACATTTAGAATCTGAAATTTTCTTGTCTGTGTCAAGAAATCTTAATCCATTTAACATGTTCCCTCTGGCTTAGAGTACATGCAGGACTGTCCCATCAGGTGGCTTGTATCACTGGGGGTGCTCACAGACCTAAACACTTTCATCAGTGTTTTTAGTAAGAAAATTAATAAAATGCTGCACAATGGGACAGGCATGCATGTAGCAGCAGTGGTCCACCCCGCCGGGTAGCAAGACTACCAATCTTGGCCCTGTCATGAACACATTAATGTTTTCTGCCAACTCAGGGAGATTTTCCTTGCTTATCAAGCATTGGAAGGCACACATCAGCTTATTCATTACGTGAAGTTCAGCCCAGAGTTTATGGGGGCCTTCTGTGCACGTGCCTCAGAAAAGTACCTTGTAGGAAATGCTCTAGTTCGGATGTGGTTTGTCCTCCAAAGGTTCATCTACCGGAGCCAATAGTGAGGCAGGAAGCCTCGAAGAGGGGGACTTGTGTGAAGTAGTGAGTAGGGCAGGGCACTGCCCTCAGAGAGGATTCATGCTGAGCTAGATCTTGGACTTTCGGTCTCCAAAAAAACCATGAGCTAAAAAGACTCTTCTTGTTACTGCCCTGCTCCATGTATTTTGTTATAGAAACAGAAAATGGACTAATTCAAGAAAGAATGAAACAGTGGTCATATCACACATGGA